CCCCAAAACCCCAAAACCCCATTATGCATGAATCAAATGAAATCGATAGTCCAACAAATTTTAGCAAGTAATATAAATTGAGATGTTTTAATTAATTATCAAACAATTTTATTTAAGGAATGAAAGCCAGCAGTTATTAGTCAAAAACTCCTTGTAAATAAGGTCTTAATTGCCGTTTTCTGAAAACTCGCTCGTGTAATTATTATCACCAGTAGTCTGATTATGGATTTGTGCCTGACAGTACGTAAAATTTATGCAAGTATAATATAAATTGCACAAGATAAAATTGCAACTTTATTCACTCAACTCAAGGAGGTAAAAGCCCCTCCTCAGGAGATCCTATTTAATAAACAGCATAAATTTTATCTGAATAACAAATAACCAAGGAAATAACTGACAGTGATATATTTAAAGCAATGCATATGAAAACCATTAAAAAATGTGAATAGCAATATAATATTTCTATCTCAGTCAAAAAAAGTGACAATGACTAAAACTCTGTGAGCTCCCTATCTTAATAATTCAGTTCTTTATAAGTCACAAATAATTCCAAAGGATATCAATGGTATTACAAGGTAAACCCTAGCGATTCAAATTATGGGGATAGACATGATAAAGTAAATAATCTTTTTGCATTTGATACTCATTAAAATGATCAAATTGAAGCTCATTACAAAAAATGTTGCTCTAACAAGACCTTTGGCGAATATACTTTCATAACGGGTGATTAAAACTAAGTTCAAAATGGTTTCAAGTATGCTGTATGGGGATCCAGTAGTGATTCAACTCAATGGTATGAGATGAATCTTAAATTCTTAACCAAAAGGCAACTGATGAGAAGATAAGGAAGCTAAATTCATACTGTTTCAACTGTTTTGATGCCATCAACTTAGAGCAACAAAAATTTCTAAAAATAAGTTTATCAGGTTACTGGAACATAAACATAAATATCAAACTTTGAAAAACAACTTTAGGCATTCTACGATAACCCTGTGAACCATAATACTACAATAGTACTTAAGCACTACCCCAATTGTTTAAATAATAAAGTTCTTCTTAATGAATTGTAAAAATTAGCTACAAATCAGTTCAGAACTTCGTTTGAGATAAATGATGCAAACATAATTAAAATTACTGGAGAAAACTACTATGAAGCAAAATAAAGAATTTTAGAAATAATTGATTTCGCTAATAAGTTTGTCGTTCCTCCAACATGGGAAAATTTCTCAAAGATGACTGATACTAATCTCTTAGTATGCTCGATTAAAAGGGATTCAAATGAATGGACAGAGATTGAAAACTAGTTTAAACAGACTATGTCAAGTTACAAAATTCAGAACATAGAGAGAATTCAGAATAAAAGACTTTGGCGAGTATTCACTGTCGAAAATCAGGATGTTGCTGATCGAAATAATTAGAATTCTGCCCAAACTCTAATGCTGTATCATGGTACAGGCTAAAACAGTCCTAAATTAATATATGATGGTGAAGAAGGTTTTGATATGCGGTACTCCAATGAAGGAATGTGGGGCAAAGCAAATTACTTTGCTTAAAATGCATCCTACAGTCATGGGTATCGTCATAAAATCTAAAATAGAACATATTAGATGTTCTTTGCAAGAGTCACTGTTGGCTAAAATATCAAACTTGAATCTGACACAACCCTTAAGATGCCACCTATGAATGGAAATTAATCAAAGCGATATGATAGTGTTTAAGGATATACGAAGGGATCAAATGTATTTATGATTTATGCAAATAAAAAAGCTTATCCAGAATATTTGATAACCTACTACAGATGAAAACCTTATAATTTTTATTCAACCCCTTTTTATATTTATATTTATAATTTAACGTTAAAATTTTCAATTCAATTAAAATTTATTTTTTGGGGTTTTGGGGTTTTGGGGTTTTGGGG